CCTGGAAAAAAATAAACATCCTCCAAGATTTGGTATTTAATTGTCCTCAGAGCGGGTCAGGAGCTGGAGAGAGCCAGAAAGTATACTTTATAAGTATACCGCTACTTCATATATTGTGATGCTTGACGCATGTTCACACGGTTGGTTTAGGGCTTGGTATTGACAGACTGGCTCAAGATGAGTAGGGAAGGTGAAGTGGTCAGACCAATAACCATGATATGTGGGGTTTTTCGAGGCTCTATCTAATGGTTATTCCCACTGTAGGTACAGGATTTATGATGCAAACTACACAAATAGATAAGTTCTAGTAATATTATTATTTGCAAGAAGTAAGGAAGGTTAGGTCTTTGTTTGTGAGTTTGGTCATACTACACCCCCACCCATGTTTAGTTGGAGCGTGTTCAGCCGATCAGAGATCGATGTACTGGCAAGATAGGATATCTTCAACACATGTGGCAAAAGTCATGGCGCCGCCTTTTCTGATGCCTGCGGCCCTTTATTACTACGTAGGCGCTCAGCTTGATCGTAGAGGGGTCGTTCCAAACATGGGTCCAGAAGTTTGTTAATTGTGATTTTTTTTGTGTTTTTTTGTTCTATACTTGCTCTCAGCTTTCGTTAGATTACTGGGTGAAGAAACTGTCCTTAAATACTCTTTCTCTCTCTAATACTTGAAAGTTGCTGCGGCGTAATGCGTAAAATAAGACCGCTGTGTCAAGAACGGTTACGCACTGGGTCGTTTCTCCTCGTTAACTTCACCTCGTCTCCCATTTCTTTGGGAAGTGTGGAGATACTATACCTTGATAAAAAGCATACGGTTGTTTTTGTTATAGTGCGATGTAGTGATACTGCAACTGCTTAGCTGTCATTGTACGCTGGATGTCAAATACCTAAATCGAGCCATATAGTAGATTGAATATGCTCAAGTCCTGTAAGATCTCCTGTTGTGGTACGATAGCATGAGGGATATGCTGGTCTCTGCTATATTGAAGCGTCGGCCTCGTACTTCTAGTGGACAGAGCATGCGTATGGTATTTTGATTGGGTTACTTCTGGCAGGAAATACAGCACTCTCTATATGTAGTTGTCAGGATACAAGTGAGAAGGTTGGGAATGTAATACTTTGTCTATTGTGTGTGGTTTATTGTCTGCTCTCGCTTTATTTTTTGATGTGAATTTTTCTAATGAGACATGGAATCCCGCATTTTGTCTCTATTGTGGGATTCGATTTAATAAACCTGTGAAGGTGGCTGTTGTGTGTCTCTGGCTCGCGTCTGAGGCTGTACCTAACAAATCGCACCGCCTGGTTATATCCGGTGATCGGATGATAATCTGATTATTGACTTTTGGTATCTCCCAGCAAGCGGGCAACTGATGTGTGCTTGCGTCCTCGTGGTTCCATTTGATATTCAGTACACCTTACTGTAGACATACATCGACTGAGGTATCGTCCAGCGCGGATTATGTGTACGTTTGTCATAGCAGGTTGCCTGCTTCTCTCTGACGAGGTGTCGTTACTGAGTATGTGCTACGTCTTGAGAGCTGTCCCTTTCTTGCCTCGTTGTGTTCGGGGTGTTTCAGGTATTGGTTTAGCTTGGCAGTTGCAAAGACACGATGATTAGCGTGCTCGGTGTCAGAGGGTAGAACTGTGTGTGATAGGAACAGTGGAGATGTCAGAAACTGGCGGCGTGAATTGCATGTATTTCGGTAGGGTTAGAAATGGCTGTAGCAGGGCGCTTGTCTGAGGAAATTGTTTGATACACGACCAAGAAAACAATACCTCAGCGTATTGTTATTAGACGTCGTTCTGTCTCAGAGGCGTCTGTGGTTGGTGTTTAATGTGCTATGTGTACTTTGCTGCTCGTCTGATAATCTCTTGATAATCTCTGGTCTGTTCGGGTTCGTAAACGGCATATATCCGTGGTTGTTGGTTGGTAGTTGTATATCCGTATGTTCGCGCTCTCCTTGTGTAGTCCCCTGTCCTGTTTCTGGGGGTATCTTGTTCACACGCGATGATAGTTATGTGATGTGTGTGTTGATCTGGTGATGAATGTAGTGTGGAGTTGTGGTGTGAATTAATATGTTTCTTGTTGTGGAGGGCTGCATATGATCGCTCATTCCCGTTTTTTTTTTGTGTTTGTGGGGGCTGTTGCTCTTGTTGATTCGGTGTGTGTGTGTTGTGTATTGTTGTTGTGTTTATTTTAATAATTAGTACCAGATGTCATGCTATTGTTGTGAACTGTAATATAGTATGTGTGTGATCTTGCATGTGGGTAAGACATTATTGTGTCCGTTGTGTGTTTTTTTTTTGTTTGTATTGTTCGTGTTACTTGTGAATGTGTGTGTTGTGATATTGCGATCTGTGGTCTGTGTCTATTCTCCTGTTCTCTCTTCTTTTGTGTCTGTGTGTGTGTTTATATGTGTGTGTCGTGTTCTTGTATTCCTTCCTGTGTGTGTTAGTTGTGTGGGTCTATCTTACGTTATTGTTTGGCCGTGCAGTCGCTCGCGCGCCGCGCCGCTCTTCCATTGTCTCGTAGAGCTGTATATAACACACACACACACACTCATCAGACACTTCTGAGTAGCAGTTCCAAGGTGACAGACGATTGACAACTGTGACTGAAAAATTACAATTTCAACACATGCTGGCAGGAAGAACTTAAAATCCAGAGAATTGACTTTGCTGCTGCTCTTGTGTCATACCGCGTACATAAAGACAACATCTCCCGTTGCCATGGTGCTCTCCACCAAGCCATGGTTACCCTAAAAACAAATGTGGGAGTTGATTCAAGTGAAGGGAAAAAAAAAGCCAATTATACTGGCGGGAAGGAACGAAGAGGATTATGGGTGAACACAACAACAACAACAAAAAACACCGACTTGTTTGTAGTGTAATTTTCACTCGAACAACAAGACGGAGCCAATGTTGTTTGGATTCTTAAAGCTGAAATGTCTCCCTGTGACATCCCACATACCCACCTTCTGTACGACGCAATCTTACTAGAGTTTGAAAATAAAAAAACTACCTTTCTAGCTGTACTTTAAAAGATTTGGTTTCGAAAGGATTCTGACTTCCCTTCTTTAGAAACAAGACGAAGAAAACTGCATTTAGTTTACAATCTGGAACTCAACACCCATATGTATGTCACGTGTATTATACATTTGTCTCGGCGGGGGAAATCACAAGTTGAGACCATTAAGCAGCATTCTGTAGCTCGTCTCATTTGCAATGCTAAGAACAGGTGGCTTGTCAGCAGCCTGAGCTCGACTGACAACTCGGCTCTGAGTGGGAGTCATAACAAACAGCCCCGTCAGCGGCGCTGCTGCTGTCAGCTACCAATTTGCTTTCTCTGTTTTCAATTTGCTCTGCTGCTTGAACCAAAGAAGGTTTACTTAACCTCTGGGTTTATTGAGCGCAAACACTCTATCCCGATTGGAGGAAACTTTCAGCAATCTTCTCCATGTTACATTTGTTGCACAAATGTAACATGGAGCGCATTAATGATGAGGCTGTGATGATGCCATGCTGCACGGGGTAAAACCTGAGGGAAAAGAGGGAAAACTTTTTGCTTTTTCCACCAGTGGCATCTAAAAATGACTTTACTTTAAATGCTTTATATTATAAACTCCTTTTTCTTATTTCCATTTTGGACATCAAATCATCAGTTTTGTATGTTACTAAGTCATTAATAAAAAATAACAAGACAAAGTGTGAAAAAAGTTTCTCCTTTTACTTATTTCTTTTTGGGATAAACATGGTCCAGGTTTTGGTACTACAGATCCCATCATGCTTTGGGCGAGGCATTCAAAAATAAATTTTTAACTTAAGGTCCACTTACTAGCTTTTTCAGTTAGTTTGCAAACTCTGGAATAAGCTACTAACTGGAGCCTGAGTTGAGATTATTTTGTGCGTTTGTGTTCTGTGTGTTATGGAGATGGATAAACACTGGAGGCAAGGAGAAACAGCTAGCCTGAGTCTGTCATCTACATTTACCAACACCTCTAAAGCTCATTGTTGGCAATATGATAGATGTGTTCTTATCTTGTATTTGTTTTGTTTGTTTAATCCTTACAAAAACAGAAATGTAAATTATAGTTGGGATGTTGATGTTTTAGAGGGAGTTACGTGAGGGAACTATTTCTTGACAAACAACAGCTGGGCACAGTGACGGTGTGCATCTTACTATAAACTATAAACAATAAAAATAAAGGAATCTTTGATTTTTCTAAGCAAAATCTTAGTACGCGAAGTACCTAGAAACTACTAATTAAAGGCAGGGCTGTCACAATTACGTTGTATATATATGTATATATTATGTCGATATATATACGATATGTAATTATCGCTTGTCACAATATCGGCTTATTGTTTAAGAACATTTTAGCCAACATGATGCCAGAACAAACAGCTGGGTTTTTCCATACCATTACTTTATTGCCCGTTAAGGAATGAATTGCTCTATAGCTTAGCCCTGTGCCAGTGTGGCAAAGTGCAACTTTTGTTAACAAGAGCCAAGTTCACAGAAATTTGGTTGCACGGTTTTATTTATGTTTTATTTATTTAGAATATTTATTTATTTTTTCACGTTCCAATTCCAGTGTCTGAATATTCTTAAGAATTAAAAGTGAATTAGTAGAAGTAGTTGTTACTGAGCTTCTCGCGTCGACTTTACACCAGAACAAGAACAAGAACTTACACATAGCTGGTGCAACCCAGTGCTGGAGTAGTAGTGTTAAAGGTCATTAAATGGACAGACAATGGTAATACTAAATACCACAGAACAATGTTAAAATCAGTTGACTAAAACCTGTGATCCCTGTCAGAGTTATGATACACTGCGCAGTAATGCAGTCACAACAACTTTAAAGTCTCTGTAAGTTGATTGCATCATACCATACGGCAACGAATGGAAACCAAACATTGTTCAGAAGTATTGAAAACCACATTTGAAGATCTTAAACACCACAGTATGGAGTAACTATCAATGAACAAAATATGCTCACATCAGGTTCTCCACAATCGCACTCCTCTCCGTCCTCCACAAAGCCATTACCGCACTTCTTGCCCCCCACCAGGTCCTTCATGTTGGGCATGTTGTAGAGACACATGCCCCCTCCCTTCTGGAAGTAGCTGTCCAGGTCGCGTTTGCTGCAGCGACTGAAGACACGTGGGAATGGATGCCTGTACGGGGACATTTCCATTTCATATTTCAGGAGCAAAATCTTTCAAAAAATATATCACACAAAACTTTCTTGCTTTGCTGAGATGTAGCAGTAGTTCCTTGTGTTTCTGTATAATGTGAGTGCAGGACAGTATACAAGCTCTTTAAGGTTTTCACTACAGGGAAATGTTTTCTTTAATGATGTTTTTTGGCCATAATGTTATAGCTAATGTAAAAGAGAACAAAACAATATCAATGCAAACTGCCGATTAAGAATCTACTGTGATCATACTAATAGTTTTTCATATCTGAGAGAAAATCTCAAGTGACAAGACAAGTTCTTCAGGCAGCCGCATTAATATAGAATTTGTTTTTGCCTTCAGCTGATTAAAGTGTTATTCATATGCCAAAGCTGTTAGCGACAACAGCTGAGTGTTGATGCAGCGCCTGAGGCTCACCCCGTGGCGGCGGCCATTACGCAGCCCCCCTGCTCGGCGGTGGCCTCCACGCAGCAGCCATCATGGTCATGGCTCATGCCGAAGTTGTGGCCAATCTCGTGGGCCATGGTGGCGGCGGCGCCGATGGACAACTCTGAATGGTCCTGTGGGCGAGTTAGAAGGTGGTGTCACTTGTGTGACTCAGACAACATCATGTGCAGGCTAACATGCATTAATGTAAACATCCAGTTTTCTAAGCACAGCAACAGTAGGTTTTCATACCTGCCAGGAGATAGATGAGCTGCTGACCTCCCTGCTTCCTGTTGTCATCAGCAAATAGCAAATGGCAAATAGGTTGAGGTAACTTTAGCAAGCATAAATCTATTTAGGAATATTCACCATCTACCCATAATAAGTTAAATAATAAAGGCCATGAAGACGGGCCTCATGATAATATGTAATAATTCCAGTGTCACCTTATGACCCCTGTTATTTCAGTTTATATTGTGATTTAGTGGTACATACAGTGTTGTGTAATTATGAAATTACCATAATTGCCACATAGTGAACCCGGAGCCTACAGGGACATTTTTGTGTATCTTTTTGTGTTTTCATATTGTTTTTAAATTTTCTTGGGGCGGCTGTGGCTCAGAGGCAGAGCGGGTCGTCCCCCAATCAGAAGGTTGTTGGTTCGATCCCCGGCTCCTCCTGCCAGCGTAGTCAAAGTATCCCTTAGAACAAGATACTCAAAGATCCCAAACTGCTCCGATGCATCGGTGTGTGAATGTGTATGATTTTCTTTCTGTATGAATGATTAGTTTCTGTTCGATGCGACTTTGGCCATCACTGTGTGAATGTGTGTGAAAGGCGTGAATGGTGGCACGTAGTTAAAGCGCGCTTGAGTGGTCGGGAAGAGCTAGAAAGGCGCTATTTACAAGCACAGGTCGCATTTTACCATTTACCATTTGACATCCATTTATTATTTTTTAACAGTCAAACCCGAACAGATGCCTGACACCCATGTGGTGCAGTTAAGAGAAGAGCACATAAGACGAGGTGTATTTATGTTGATTTTGTCAGATGATGTAGTATTTAGAGTCAGCAAGAATCTGACGATATAATACATGTTATGTTAAATGGTACATGGACTGTACTCGTATTGTACTACTCAAAGCGCTTTTACACTACATTCACACACATATGGCAAAGCCCATCCAACTGAAACTAACTCATTCATTCATTCACAGTCACACACCGATGCGCAGGAGCAATTTGGGGTTCAGTATCTTGCTCTAGGATACTTCGATATGCGCAGGGGATAGATCCAACAACCTTCCGATTGGTGGATGACCCGAGCTACCTCTGAGGCACAGCCGCCACATGATTATGATTCAGTATATTGCGATGTATTACATATGTATAAAATTTGAGTAAGTTGGGTTCACACAAACACTGTTTAAAAGATTAGAAGGTGCAGTGTAGACGTAGTCGGACTCTCACTGTTGCAGCTGTTCCAGCAACTCTGTGATGCTGTACTTACAGCGGTGATTCCAGCTAAATGCTGATATCAGCATGCTAACATTTTCACAATGACAATGCTAACATGTTGATGTTTAGCAGGTATATATATGTAACAATTAGACATTAGACATTATAAGTCTAACTGGACGTTGCATATTTATTATTGCTAACTTGACTTTGCATATTTATTATTGCTAAATTGAAGTTGCATATTTATTATTGCTAACTTGACCGCGGATTTGGTCATAGACCAAAGTATTGGACAAATTTTTACCTGATGGCAGTAAATGAAAAGTTAATCACTAGTCATTAGGAATCCTCCTCTGGGAACCATAAATGTCTACAAAATTTCACAGCACACCTATTATTTGTCAAAATGTCTCTGTCTGGACCAAAGTGGTGTGATACGATGGAGATTTGATCAGTGTAGAACCACTTGTTTAATGGTTAGTTTATATAAAGTATTCAGTGGAACACACTGCATGCTCCAAAAAAAGTAAGCTCCATAATCAGCAGGTTGTGAGTTGAGATGATGTATAGTTGAACAAGTAAGAAACAGCTACAATGTCCTCTTTTCCAAAGAAGTCAAACCCACAGTAGTAGAGCTGCATGAGCTCACACACCAGTGACAGTATTCAGATGAATTTAGCTTCTCTTTGATCCGCTGAAAGCTGTCATTCACTCTTAGCTCTGCTTCTGAATTATGCATACTGTATATAATAGGAATGTGTTAACTGTCTGGAAGCGATGATCTTCTCCAGTGAAATCCTTCACATGCTATTTAGCGCTCTGGGGGCCAAACCACAGAGGGAACGCAAGTGCTGGTTCTGTGGTGGTGAGTGGTGACTCCGCAGCTCGGTCAGCCACAGGACATTTGGATTCTACAGACCACCTCTGCCCACAGGACAGCTAACAGCCTATTAGAAGCTAATCAAGCTTGGAAAAGCTATCGATCTGCTCGGCAGCGTCCATTTACTTCACTGCTGCACACATATATGAAGTCATACGGTTACACCAACTGAACAATAATATACAGTGGGTATTTTAAAGCACCAGGCAAGGTTTGAATGCCAAAAGCCTCCATGAACCATGTGACTGCAGCAAGTATCCCATCCTTTAAGTTAAATTTCAATTAAAAGCAGGGTCCCGATTAGAGGCAGGTCTACTTTACTAGCCTGGTGTGGCTACATGTATTGACAAATAAAGGCGAGTCTAAATTAAAAGGCCAGGTCGTGATTTTATATCAATTTTCTGGATGTATAAAACCTCTTAAAGCCCACCCAGTTGCTAGCTTGAGCAATTTCTAAGTTGCTTAGATCGCCTACACAAAATTAAATGTTTAATATGGACATGCTACACATCGTTCGATTCTCCCCAGTTCAATTGTACAGTAACAGGTACCCTGCACTATGTTATGTTATTTTGGCAAGCTAATTGCATATTCATAAGTCCTGCACAGGTATATTATGACAACAATACAAAAGGAGAAAACCAGAGTGAAACTGGCAGTAGACTGCACATAAGCAGAGAGAGCGCACAGACTCAAGCACCATGGAGACCATGTAGAGAGTCCCACTGACTCAGCTGGATACAGTATTCATGCTCTAGCTGTGGCATCAGTGGCTCAATTCAGTATGGGTTGAATTTTTTCCTCCACTATTGTTTCTGCCTCTTTACAGATGCAGCACAGAGCTGCCATCTCTCCAAACAGTCTAAACTGGGCAGGTAAAAAAAATGAAGCTGAATATTACAATAAACACTTTGAAGCATCAAATGGGACCAAATTAGACAGCGTTGGGCAGTACTGCAGGGGAGGAGGAGAGTAAGTGATCCTAACTCGCTGTGTCAGGTGCAGTATGGCTGAACAATGCACTGAAGTCTAAATATTAGTGAATGTATTATGCACACATACGGTATTCAGGTTAGATTAGCATGTATTTGAAATGCTAACAAAAGGTAGAGAGACAACAGAGACGTGACACTGAGAGATAGAGACACAGAGCTTCTACACACAGTGAACAATGAGATCACTCCATTACATTTAAGATGTACCTTACCTGTTGCCTGATAAGACACACAGTACTAAAGACCCCTGTGCTCAGTATCAGCAAGAATATATTGTGTCTGTTGTGCGTATTGTGCTCAAGTATTTCTTCATACTATTGAGTAGTCATGACTAAATGTTCAACAGTTAAAGTTAAAGGTGAATAAATGTACTGTAATAATATTTATTAAGAGTTTAACAGTTTACAAACATAGTAAATCTGCTTTATCAGGACTGTGTGGGTGTGGTTTAATGAAATTTGATTGACAGCCCTGGCAACATAAGCAACAAACCTACAACTTAACTAAATACTGATTGGTGGACTGAATATGTCAAATTTTCCCAACTTAAGAACAACTACAGGCAGAAGAAATTCCCATGAGAAATAACTAAAATAGCTTTAACTTTAAGAGTAAATAGACCTTTTTCACAGCAGCCACTTTAACATGGAATAGTAGGGTAAACACATGTACTAGCAATGACACTAATTAAGGTTCTGCTCTATTTAGTGTAGCAGAACCTTTCCAGTGAGCCAACATGCACAACAGCAGCACCCTGACTCTGTTTGTCCTGAATGGAACCTGGATCGTTTGCTGATATTTGATTAACCAAACAATTCATAGAATAATCAAGAAAATAAATGACAGATTAATTAATAATGAAAATAACTATTAGTTGTAGCCCTACAACTCTGATATAATAGCATGACTGTAAGGTCTTGTTTTGCTGATAAAGACGGTTGAATTTGAATACATGTACATTCAAAAATTTTGAATTTTCAGAAATACAAAATAAATAATTGTAATAACTCTATTGCACAGGGTTGGAGGCAAAAAAGACACATTTTATAAAATTTGCACAAATAAAACTAAAACTATGGAAGAATACCATATACAATATAAAATAAAACTGAATAAATAAAAGTTTAAAATGAGTATTAAAAGAACCTTTAAAGCTGCTTCCATTGATTTTTTTGCTACATGGGGGCACCAGAAGAAGCTGTAAACACAACATATCATTTATTATCACCTTATAAAGTAGTTTTAGCTACTGTAAAGCAAAGTAGTTTTAGCTACTTTATAGTTGCACATTTATATATCCAGCAGACACAGAACAACATTAGCATTTATTTGGAGTCGTGTTTGTGTCCACTTGATGAATATCTGTTTTGGTCTCCACTAACTCCTGATAAAAATATCTGGATCTTTAGCTGCTAAATGCTCCACTAATATGTTTCTGTTTACTATCTGCTGCCTTGCAGGTAATCAACAGTGGGTTTATCAGAGCTTTTCCACTGAAAACAGCTGAAAACTATCATTGGCAAAACCCCCTCTATATCTCTGATCTCTACTCAATATCTCCAGAAGTAATCACAGTTTACATTCTGGCAGACTCAGTCACTCCGTACCTCCTTTGGCCATCACTCGTTCCAGTTTTTCGCTCCTAGTGATTGGAATGAGTTGCAAAAGACTCTCTCATTCCGTTCCCCTCTTTTAATAACTTATTACATGCAATAGCTTCTGACCACTGCACCTCTTCTAGAATTTGCTTCTCTGGCACACAGTACATAGATCTCTCAAAGATGACAAAAACTTATTTTTACGATTTTTAAGTTACCTACTGCAGCTTTAACTCTGTCTAATACTGTTTTCTTGCACTAGCTGTGTCTATGTTGTAATTGTATCAACTTGCCTCCCGTTGCTGGCTCTTGGCCAGGTGGTCACTGTAAGGGACAATTGGTTCTCAACTGACTTATTTGCTTAAATAAAGGTACATTTTGGACGAAGTTCTGCACACAGAAAAGCTTAAACAATCACTAGCAGATGACGTCAAGCAGGGAGAAAAGATTGAAGGGAAAAGGGATTGAGTTTTTATGAGTGAAGAGAAAAGAGCACAGGGAGGTGAAAGACAGAGTGGAAAGAAAGTATAAAGTAAGAAAAGAGAAGTGTATTCTACATACCACGTTGATGCCTCCAGAGTTTTCCAGGCTACACATCCCCTCCAGCGGTGCCATCCCGATAGTTGTTCCCTTGAAAATCACACCGCTATCACAGCCACACAAAACAAACAAACACACACACACACACACACACACACACACACACACATAACGAAAAACTCAGTTAACCTTAATCTCCACCCTGCTCACTTACGGGTTCCATGGTGGATGCACATTGATTGCATATGCAAGAGCAGTGCACAGTGGCAGACATGACAAGCCTGTCAGATGTGGGAGAGGGCGTGGGAGGAGCCTCAATCCACCATGTGGTCTCCTGGCAGTTGTCACTTAGCAGCCAAAAACAAAATCAAGCTCCGTCTGATGAATCAAAACAAAATAGGCCCTTTGGTATCATCGCAGCTAATTATGGAGCAAGAGGGGCCAACAATTTATTGCTTGTGTGTGTTTGTGTGTACACCGGCAGTCTAGCTGCGATGCTGTTGCTGACGGCGTGCTGAGCTGTTCAGCCCAATTACAGCCGACCGATGCGAGATCTTTTGCTTAATAAAATCTCTGTTTAACTAATCACCTGACAATTTAAACACTAACGAAATATGAAATTATCTGACCCAAGGCTGGGGGCTGTTTCTGTCATTAGAGCAACACAGAAGCTCGACAGGGGATAGGAGGTGTATGAGGGAGGATGTGGAGTTAATCAGCTTTCTTATTAGCTGAGGTACAATGGTGATTATGAACCCATGTATTAACATCAGAAGGGCACAGAGTCTGCGGGTTCTCACTGCAAACAAAAACGAAAGCAGCTAATTTTACTGATTAGTTCTTCCTGCAGCGAATATCAGTGGAAGAATGACAGAGAATGAATGTTAGAGCAGAGGTGGGCAGGGTAGCTAAAAATTTTACTCAAGTAGTCATAAATTTAACAGTACAAAAATATTTACTGAAAAACACCGTCAGCGGCAAGTAACTTGAAGCTCTTTTCACCACTTCTTCTATTCGATGTGCATAGGCCCAGTTAAGGAAGTGAACGTACACCTGTATTAAATACATCATGTTACAGTGTTCTTAAATGCTATAAATTTTTATTATTAAAGCAGTCAAGTCACTGCTTTGATGGCTTGTAACCTGACTATGACTTGAGACCTGACTGTGCCTGCAAATTTAGCCAACACTGTTGGGCTGTTCGGTACACAAGTTCCTGTAACAGCCACTTGAGGCTGCTTCAGTAGTGAGTCAATCTCCACAAGGCCCCATATTAAAATGCCCAACTTTACAGCAGAAATATGTTTACAGCCTGGTACAACAACTGTTTTGGTCTCTATAGATAATTTCCCCATTCATGACATATACAACTCACCTGTTTAAATTAGATTAAATGGACTGAATTTATATAGCGCCTTTCTAGTCTTTGGACCACTCAATGCGCTGTACACTACACTCTCACATTCATACACTGATGGCAGTGGCTGCCAAGGTGCCAACTGCTCACCAGAACGGAAACTAAGTATTCACACACAATCATACATGCACAGCAATTTAAGGTTCAGTATATTGCTCAAGACACTTCAACACGCTTCAACATGTAGTGAGAGGAGCTAGGGATCAAACCGCCAACTTTCCGATTAGTGGACGACCCTACCTCTGAGCCTCTGAGCCACAGCCTCATGGCTCAGACCTTAGTTATGCTATCAGATCCGCCGACGCTCCACCTCTTTGCCCAGTTTTGGATTAGTCAGTACTGCCCAGATGGCGAAGGCCACTGTGCTTCACAACAGCTCTTCACAAACCTATGGGTGACGTAATGGAGACTATGGCAATTTTTAATCATACAGTCTATGGACTCAACTTGGACTTAAAGACTCGTGACTTGACTTGATGTTCGCTAACATTAGCTAGAAAGTCTGATAACGACTGATATCACTAATCAACCATATATCAAGGAAGTGACGTGTGGTTTGGACTTGGACAATATGTTATGTTGTTTTTGCTGCTTTTATGTTGTCTTTATGTAAAGTGTCTTTGAGTATCCAGAAAAGTGCTGATAGATAAAATGTATTATTATTATTATTATTATTATAATAATATGACTTGAGTCACATGCCTGCATTAGTATTAAACTTATTTGCATTAACAACACATAACTGTTCATAACTGGAGCTCTTGTGTTGTGGTCTGTTACCATTAGCTGCTAGCTGCTGTTTGAAAGTCATACTCCAACAGTGGAAAAAAGAAAAACACTGAAGGATGTTTTGTCTCCAGTGAATCTCCATTAATCTACTAAAAACAAAGTCATTGGGGGACGTTGCTGTGGTAGGATAACGGACCTGGGATCAGCAGACCACGATTTACCTCTAACAACCTACTCCAGTAAAAAGTATGCTGCATGAAAACTACTCCAACAATTACAATCTACAACAAAAAGTGACTTAAGTACATGTACCAGAGTAAATGTAACTTGTTACTACCCA